ACCTATGTACTATATCACACAACCCCGCTTGAGATGATACTGATGTTCCATTTTCATCTATCAATCTGGTAATTTTATTCCTTTTTTTTCCTGCAGGTGGCTGCCGCGTGAAAAAATTTAGTATTCATGTCGCCATCTCGCATCCAAAATACTTTTGCACGCTGCTTCCAGAATGTTTCCTCTTGTGAAAGCAGCCTAGACAACTCGGCTCTTAGAAGACCGCTTCACGCCCCGCCTCCTCAGTCATGGACCTTTGTGCTTCCTCTAGCTTAAATCTACATTTGTCAATAGCTTCTGAGTGCCTGCGTCTCAACTTGCGTCCCCATGAGTCTAATTTTGCTGTGCACTTTTCAATTTTCAGCATGAGAGGCTCCCCATGAGCTTCTGACCATCCCTCATTCACAACTTGGTTTAGTTCAGGTTCCACTAACCAGGAATTCTCAAATTTAAAACTCCTTTTCCGAAAGCTGTAATTTCTAGTCTCAGTTGTGAGCAAAATGGGGGAGTGATCTGAATGAGAGGCTACCAAATTCTTTAAGCTACTAAGGGGAAACCATTGCAGCCAACTCTCTGTTGCCATCGCTCGATCCAGCTTCTCTTCTATAGCATTCTCTGAGTTTCAGCCTCTCCACCAAGTAAACTGACAACCCTGTAATGGAATATCTATCAATTGACAGTCCCCTAACCGTCTCTCTGAATCCATTAATTAGCCACACGGGATGTTCAATCTTGCCTTTTTTTCTCTTCTTGCGCTAGAAGGTCATTAAAATCCCCAATAATGCACTAGGGAAGATTGACATTAGCAGCTAAGGCTCTTAAAATCTCCCAAGACTCCTTCCTCCTTCCTCTATCTGGAATGCCATAAAACCCAGTAAGTTGCCAAGGCCGCGTGGCTTCCTCCTTGACTACCATGTTAATGACATTCTTGGAGTAATTCATTAATTCGACCATTCCAGTGTGTCTCCACAAAACAGCTAATCCCCCACTCCTCCCGTCTTTGTCCACCGCAAAGCAAGCCTCAAATCCTATGCTCCTCCGAACTTCATCAATTTGATTACTACAACAAAGCGTTTCACATAGAAAAACTACATCCTGCTTATGAAACCGAACGGGGTTGTGAAGTGCAGGAACTGCATTGAGGTGACCCAATCCCCTGCAGTTCCAACTTAAAACAATCATTGGTCTTGGTGGGCCTGGTGCCCAGGACCCACCCCAAAAAAAGAAATATGTTTTTGCTGAGCTGACATTGACTGATGCTTCACTCTGTAAGGGACGTATCCTTTTCCTTTCTGTTGCTACCTCAGGGTCCTCCGTAAGATTTTCTCCTCCTTGAAACTGTATGTTGTTGCCGCCTCTAGGACCTTCTGGTATTATGATTGGACCACCCACAGTGCCCTGAGATCTGAAAGAAGTAGCAACATTGTTATTTGCACCATATGTATTCTGGTGCTCTCCTCTATCCTCACGAAGCCAACGACATCCCCCAGACCCCCCTGGACGCCTCCTTTCAACCCGTAGTTCTGCACTCCAGCCCCTCTCCCCATTATCCTCTGACATCTCGTATAATTTATCACATTGATTGTCCAAGTGACCCATAATTCCACATAGGAAGCAGAATGCATTCAGTTTCTCGTATTTGAATCGCACTACTTTGACCTCTCCGTCTACCGAACTAATTTTCTTTCCCCGTTTTAGAGGCTTGCGGACGTCCAAAATCACCCTTATTCGCATAATCGCATGTAGTTTCTCCAGAAACCGACATTGTTTTTTGAGTCATATTCCACAAAAGTACCAATGAAATTTCCCAACCCTCTTCCGACTTCCCCTGTCATTAGTATCATGGGAAGATCATGCACTTGTACCCAATAATCCACATTAAATAATGGAATTTGAGAAGGTATATCATTAACACCCATCTTTGCCAAGATTAATAGGTGATTATCGAAGTGCCAGGGCCCTCCTCGTAAGACATGTTGCATATCCAGTTTGTGAAAGAACTGAAATAAGAAAATACCTCTTTGCACTTCCTTGATAGCCACTCCATGTGGTTCCCAAATCGTAGCCAATCTTTCTTTCATCATGTGAGTGCGAATTGGTTTGGTCGTCAGGAAACAACCAACTAAACATAAATTTATATTTGTGCTATGGTCTTGATGCACCGGATTAGAAAATGTCAATACCTCATCCTCCTCATCACTAAGCCTGAGATCTTCCAACCCAGCCATTCTGAAACTAGAGCAAAACACTCGAAAATCGTATGCGATTACCTTCTCACGAAGAGACCCTAATGCTTTACTTCTCATGAAGAGAGAGAAATATGAAGAACCCTAGATTTCTTCTAAATTGATCAATGAAAGTTTCTTGTTGCTCTTTATGAGTTTAGTCACTTTATCACAAAAGATAAAAGGAGTTGGGGGAATTGTGCGTTCAGCATAAATTTTGGCAACTTTGGGAATACTTCAAAATTTGTTGCAACTTATTTTGGGTTCAATTGCTTAAATATTAACATTATCTCTTTTCAGTCCAAAGCATAAAAACATACAACTAAATCAAATAATACGGAGTATCATGCATTACTGAAAAGCTAACTAAACATATAAAAATGTGTACTATACACTCACACATCTCTCTCTCTCTATATATATATATATCAATGTTCTAAAAGGTGTTAGGCGCTGGTCGGGCGCCAGCCCAGCGCCTAGGCGGCTAGGCGGGCGCCTAGTCGAGGACTAGTCGGAGACAAATAAATTGCATTTTATCTATATTTTTGCGTAAATATGATAAGTAATATTATATTTTTGTGTATATAAAATACATATATACATATACATTAACAAACATGAATGATAGAATTATCACATTTAATCATACGTAGTATATGATAAATAATCATTTAAATTCATTATGTTATACATATAAATAATGATGAAATTTAGGTATATATATAAACAAATACAATTTTATCTTAATTTACAACTTCATTTCTTTATATCCACTGCTAAAGCTAAAGTACATATCGCTTAGAAAATTAAATTTAAAAAGTAAAGTAATGTTCGCGAATCTAGACGGCCTAGGCGGCCGATTAGGCGCTCTAGACGGGCAATTAGGGGCCATAGGCGGCCGACTAATTCACCTAGACGGCAAACCAATTAGTCGGAGCGCCTAGACGAAATTCAGGGCGCCCGGCCACCGCCTAGCGCCCAGACGGAGACTAGGGACGCCTAGAACGATTTTTAGAATAGAGATGTATATATTAGAAAGAGAGAGAGCAGATCATATCTGGCCGGCCTTACGAGAACTGCCGTCAGGCCGAGACCATTTGGAGCCTTTTCGTGTGGAATTTTTGATGACTTTTTTTAAGCATGTTCGTCATCAAGTATAGTTTATCTCCACCAAATTTCAGCTAAAAGTTCGATCGCGAAGGCATTGAAATAATTTTTTTACAAAAATTGCCCTTTATATATACTCCCTCCGTCCCGCAATAAACTTCACACTTTGACTTCACACATATCAAGAAAATAAATTTGACTTTACTGTGGAGTGCACTGTTTTGCACTGTTCAAACATTGTTTGGCACTGTTTGGACACTGTTCGACACTGTTTTGATGTAGATAATTTGCCAAATAAGGAAAGTTTTGAAGTGTGAAGTTAATTTCAGGACTACCCAAAAAGGAAAGTGTGAAGTTTATTGCGGGACGGAGGGAGTATATATAAACATTGCAGTTTTTGTAGAGAATTTATTTGACTGCCTTACCGATTAAATTTTTAGTTGAAATGTGGTGGAGATAAACTAGACTTGATGAAGAACGTGCACATAAAATTTCATCAAAAAGTTCCACCGGGAAGGGCCTCAAATGCCTAACACAATCGCTACTCTCTCTCTATACCGACTATACATACACACACACACATTTGTGTGTCCGCACATGCCTGTGGTGCATATATACATACACACATAATGGTCTTGTTCCGCAATTGCACTTGAACATTGTGTATAATAATATAAAAGGAAAAGTACGGAAAATGTACTTGTGGTTGGGCCCATTTTCAGATAAGGTCATGTGTTTCATTCTTTATCAAAGTGGTTCATGTGTTTGAATTCCGTTATCACAAGAGGGTCACGTCTTTAAAAACGTATGTAAAAGACCATTAAAAGTAATTCCGATTTTCAAAAGTGCTCGAAAAATTAAAAGAAAAATACCGGAAGGTGCGCCTCAATAAGACGACCGCTAGGCCATCTTTCTTTTTTGTTTTCAGCCACCCTTGTCACCGGAAAGTCCACCGGAAAAGTGATATTAGCAAAATCATTTTTAAAAAATAATTCTAACAGATCTGAAAAATCCAAAGGCGAAGGTGGTTTGGAGGTCATCTTGATGAGGTGCACCTTCCGGTATTTTCCTTTTAATTTTTCGGGCACTTTTGAAAATCGGAGTTACTTTTAACGGTCTTTTTCAGACGTTTAGTGAGTCACTTGTGATAACGGAATTCAAACACATGAACCACTTTGATAGAGAATGAAACACATGACCCTATATGAAAACAGGCCCAACCACAAGTACCTTTTCCGTACTTTAATACTACCTCCGTCCCACTAACAATGGGACAAGAGGGAGTGAGACGCAAACCAATAAAAAGCGGTTTATGTGGTTGATATTGATTTGATAAAGTAAGAATGATTTAGAGTCACATAAACTTTACCAAATTTGGTATGGAACAATCTTAGTGAGACGGACGGAAAAGATAATATGAGACAATCTTAGCGGGACGAAGGTAGCACTATTTAAATAACATTTGGTTATAGTTTTCAGTAGTACATCTCTAAAGAATAATGGTCAAAGATATAAACGGGGGACTGTGAGAGTCCAAATATAAAGTTCTTTAAGGGACATAGAGTATCAAATATAGACTATGTCCTTCAAAGTCCATCCCCTCCAAGAATATCTATCCAAACAGACCCTTACACGAGTTGAATATGCTCAATGTTGTTGCATTTTCCGCAGTTGCAGTTACTGGGCTGTCTTGCTGGAGTGGAGATGGTACTAAAAGATGTTGGTTACCCAGTGAATCTGGGCAGTGGAGTTGCAGCAGCTTCTTCTTACCTGCAGAGCACCACTCCCATGATTCCATCTAGAATTTAACTCAAGTGTGTTGTATATTTGTTTCTTCATCTTCCTTACTACGCTCTTGCAATATTACATTCTCCCTTCACTATTTGAAGCACTTGTTCCTATGGAGTCACTGTGGTGTAGTGGTAAATGGTGAAACACTTCCTGCTTGGAGGTGTACTCATTACTTTCGTAAGATCCAAATTTAGACCATTTCTTCAAGGGAAAAAACTCTTGTCTATTCTCACTAATTTTTTGTTACACCTATGACCTATCTAGGGAAAAAACTCTTGTTTATTCTCACCAAATTATTTTACACCTATCTAGGGAACAACATTACTATGAATATATGAAGCAGCCAACTGGACAAACCGGACCAAAAGTTGAGAATATAATCAGGAAATACAGGTGTATATTTACACACTCACACAAATTACCAATCAACAAAATGTTCACTTATTTAGGAGTTGCTAAGGGGTTGTTTACTTTCTTTTTTTCTATTAAGTCCTATCCGGATTGAGTGGTATTTGTATATGAGGTTGTTTATTTTGTGTGCTGAATAAACCGTCTGAATTGAGTAAGATAATCAATTTACGATTATTCTCGGGCTATAATGTCAATGAGAAATATCATTTATGAACATAAATCTATTCCATAAATGATTTTTTTAGGGGAAATGGAAACTAATAATTCAACCTTTTAGCGGTCTTCTTTTAATAGTCCCACCTTTTTGTTATTCATGAATAATCCAACCTTTGCACCTGATCTTCATTCACTGGTCCTTGACCGGTTGATGACATGTTATTCCAAGTTATTTTCTTATCTTTGTGAAAGGTGGAATTTATGGTATAATAGTTTGCAGATATAAGAAAATAACTCGGAATAGCAGGTCATCAACCGGTCGGGGACCAATGAATGAAGATGAGGTGCAAAGGTTGGATTATTCATGAATAACGAAAAGGTCGGACTATTAAAAGAAGACCGCTAAAAGGTTGGATTATTAATTTCCATTTTTTCTTTTTTTTATATAAACGACGTCTTAATAGACATCTTAATGGGAAAAACTACTATTTTCCAGCTTAATGATTAAGTCAGTTTTTTGATTGAATGATTAAGGCATGTTTTCAATTAAGTCATAATTAAACATGACTTAATGACTACGTGATTAAGTCACTGTTGTCATTAAGTCCATTAAGTGATTCAGTCGAAAGTAAATAGCCCCTAAGTGTTAGTTTAGACTTTAGTAAGAAGTATAATCAAATAAGTTTTTAGAATATAAATTTACATTGGACATACATTTGATCGCATTAAGTTGCGTCTTACTCCCTCCGTCCCCCTATAATTGTCCCATTTTTTTATTTTTGGATGTTCTCTTATTATTGTCTCATACCATATTTGGTAACATTTGTGTGGCTCTAATTCAATTTTACTTTATTCTCACTTTATCAACTCATTATCAATCACATAATTTTACTTTTCTTAAAAATCACACCACTCTCTTTTCTCTCAATATTAGGGGGCGCAGCCGCGCAGGTAGTACTATTTATCAAACTGTATGTAAGCTCACAGACATTCAAGATTACCTGCCATCTAGAGCTGGCAAATCACAATATCCCTATCATGATTATTGTTCATGAAGTATCTGTGAATAAACAGGAAAAAGGTGCTCCAATAGGAGCCCTGGGTGTCTATTTATAATTGAAGAGTTTAATACAGAATAGGAAACAAATCTTCCTAATAATATTCTATTACACCCCCTCAAACTGTGCGGGAGATACAACGCGCAGGTTGTCTTTTAAAAAATGAAATTGCTGACTAGAAAGACTTTTAGTAAAAATGTCAGCTAACTGTAACTGAGCAGGGATGTATTTCACAATTAGATCTCCATGAGCCACACGCTCCCTGACGAAGTGATAGTCAATCTGAATATGCTTGCTATGAGCATGCTGAACTGGATTAGCAGTGAGATAAGAAGCAGAAATATTATCACAAAAAAGCTGAACCGGCGTAGTAATGGGAAAACCGAGCTCAAACAATACGGAACGAATATGCAAAGTATCCTGAACAGTGTAAGCAATGGCCCTGTATTCAGCTTCTGTAGAGGATTTGGAGACAGTAGGCTGCTTCTTGGACTTCCAGGAGACAAGATTCGGACCCAAGAAAACTGCAAAACCCGTTGTGGAACGGGACGTATCTGGACAGCCAGCCCAATCAGCGTCAGAGTAGGCAATGACACAAGTAGCTCGAGATGTAGGCTGAAGCCACAAACCATGCTCAATAGTCCCCTGCAAGTATCTAAAAATCCTCTTGACAGCAAAAAAAAATGAGTAGTACGAGGAGCATGCATAAACTGAGACACTAAATGCACAGCATAGGTAATATCAGGTCGTGTCAAAGTTAAATATTGTAATGCACCAACCATACTACGATACTCAGTAGCATCAGCAAGAAGTTCCCCATCAGTGAGGGATAAAGAAGTGCGAGTAGCAAGCGGAGTACGGACAGACTTGAGAGTATGGAGGTGAAAACGAGATAGAAGGTCAGAAACATACTTATGCTGGGATAGAAACAAACCTTTATCTGAGCGGACAGCCTTGACTCCTAAAAAATAATGAAGATCACCGAGATCCTTCATAGCAAAATGCTGAGCAACAAGTTGAATAAAAGAAGTGATAGCAGCAGACGAATTGCCAGTAATAATGATGTCATCAACATAAAGTAATAAATAAATGACATTATTATTTTGACGAAAGATAAACAATGAATTATCAGACTTGCTACACGTGAAATGATGAGAAAGTAGAAAGCTACTAAACCTGTGAAACCATGCCCGCGGGGCTTGCTTGAGCCCATAGATGGCTTTTCGCAAACGACATAAATGATTAGGAAAAGTGGGATGAATAAAACCCTGCGGTTGACGCATATATACTTCCTCAGTGAGATGACCATGCAAAAAGGCATTTTTAACGTCCAACTGACGAATAACCCAACCAAAAGAAATAGCAAGAGTAAGAACAATACGAACTGTGGTGGGTTTAATAACAGGACTAAAAGTTTCGGAGAAATCCACACCGGCCTGTTGATTAAACCCCTGAGTAACTAATCGAGCTTTGTGACGCTCAATAGAACCATCAGAATTATACTTAGTCTTATAAATCCACTTAGAGCCCACAACATTTTTAGTGTGGTCAAACGGAACTAAATCCCAAGTATTATTAGAAATAAGAGCATTAAATTCCTCCGCCATTGCCGCACGCCATTTTAACTGTTTGTTGGCCTCTGAAAAACAAGTTGGATCTGCTGATAAAGCAACTGTGTTTAAATTAAAAATCATTTTGGGTTTAAAAATGCCCGACTTAGACCGAGTTTGCATGGGGTGGCAATTAGCCAGCTGTCCAGACGGAGATGTCGCCGGTGCAATGGCCGGTAGCTGCGGCTGCACAACTGGAGCCACATCAGGTCGGGTGAAGGCTTCTGCAGACGCATCGGAGTCATGGGAAGGAGTTGCAGGCCGAAAGAGAGGTGAAGTGGCTGGATTAGGACTGGGGTGGGTCGAGTGAGGGCTTGGTAGTGAGGAGGTTCGGCAATGGTAAGGTGATGTGGAGGGAGGTGTTGGAGCAGTGGGTTGCCGTGGTGAGTTGGGAAGAGCTGAGGGCGTTGTTATGGTGTTGGAGTGTACAGTGGGTGGGGGACGAGATACGCACGGGACTGTAGGCATAGAAGTAGGGGTGGTATTGATAAGAGTAAAATCTTCGGGACTAGATGAAGAAGATGATGGAGATTCATGACCCGTAAACGAAGACAAAGTGGCATATGGAAAAATATTTTCATGAAAACGAACATGTCTGCTAATAAATACCTTGCCAGATTTGGGGTCAAAACAGCGATACCCCTTAAAGCCAGATGCATAACCAAGAAAAACACACTGAACAGAACGTGGTGACAGTTTGTTGGAAGAAGACGCAGGAAAATTCGGATAACAAGCACACCCAAAAACACGAAGCAAACTATAGTCAGGAATTTTGTGAAAAAGTTTTTCATATGGTGAAGCACCAAAAAGAGTGGGAGAGGGTAATCTGTTAATAATATAGACAGCCGTAAAAATAGCATCCACCCAAAAATTACTAGGAACGGAAGTTGTAATAAGCATAGTTCGAGCAAGTTCCAAAAGATGGCGATGTTTGCGTTCAGCAACACCATTTTGTTGAGGAGTATAAGGGCAAGATTTTTGGAAATAAATACCATTTTCGGCTAAAAATTGTTGCATAGCAAAATTAACAAACTCACCCCCTCCATCACTTTGAAAAACTTTAATTTTAGAATTAAATAAATTCTCAACTAAAAATTTAAAGAGACGAAATTGGGAAAAGACTTCATGTTTGGTGCGCAACGGGTAAATCCAAGTAAAGCGAGAGAAGTCATCAATAAAACACACATAATATTTAAAACCTAGGTTAGATAAAACTGGAGATTGCCACACATCAGAATGAATTAACTCTAATGGAGAAGTAGAATTATGACTAGCATCTGAAAAGGGTAACCGCTGAGATTTACCCAAACGACAAGAAACACAATCATGTTCAAAATTTGAAGAATGAGAAATAAGTTTTCTATTACGTAACAGGCGTAAAACAGATTCGCCACAATGTCCTAATCTACGGTGCCACACAGGGCCAGAGGTAATAGCGGAAGCAAGAGCTAAGGGTGCAGGAGGACTGAGGCTGACTGGGTAGAGATGACCATTATGACGCGCCTGAAGAAGAACCGCCCCCGAAATTTTGTCCTTAACAAGAAAAGAATTTTTATCAAAAATCGCAACACAATTGTTATCAGCACACAATTTTTGAATAGAAATTAAATTGAATTTAATTTGAGGCACATGAAAAACAGATTTTAGTGACAACGGGCGGTCAGGAGTATTTAACGTAATATTACCAATATTAGCTATGGGAAGTTTAATGCCATTTGCAACACTAACAGACATGGAGCCAAAATAAGGGGATTTATTGGACAAAATACCTTCAGATGAGGTCATGTGAGCAGAAGCTCCGGAATCTGGATACCACAGAGCATCATTAGTTTCCCCAGTTGGGGCAATCAAGGCCGGTGCAGGTTGTGAAAAACGAGACGGACATTGTAATGCAGAATGACCTGCAGAGAAACAAATTTGACACACAACCGGGGATGGAACTGAACCAAGAATTCCCTCAGCGGATGAGAAACCTGCATATTGTGAGTAAGT